CAATTTCTTTTTCCTGCACGAACAACTGATAGTGAATTGAGGCCATTAAGATCTATAGTGAGAGCAAACTCTTGTCACTGTTAAATTGTTTTTGTGTTATTAAATCTCAGTTCTTTGTCAAATGGTTATAGAACACTGCTTGCTGGTCAGAAGAAGCTGAAAAAGAAGTTCTTTAATAGAAGTCACAGATAACACTAGGTTGGAGAGGCTACCATCAAAAGATGCAAAAGCCTAAGCTCTTCTGATTGGAAACGGTATAGTTAAACTTTTCCTATAGGTTCCATCTTTGGCGACCAAGAATAAAGCTTTCTGTAAATGTTGATATAAGATTCATAACAAATATTGCCAGTCAGAATATTTTTAATAATCCATAATAATTTTCAAAATGAGGGGGGAGTAGCTTTATTTATCAATTAATTTGTTTATTTAATTCATCCTGTCATAATCAAATATCTCTGGCTAGCTTCATACTACATAAAACAAATTAAAACATCCACATATTAAACCAATCACAAAAAAAACCCCATAAAACTGATATAATCAAAAATCATAAATAGAAATGACAAATAGTAAATAGTAACAAATAAAAAGGAAATTTTCAATTTCTTTGAAATGCAAATTTCAAATCTACTTTTAATAGCATAGATCTGTTGGCAAGAGTAAGATATAATGTCACAGATTATAGTCAAGAACTACAATTGTAGATTCCTTACTGTATAAATAAAAAAAATATTCTTTATATTGGAATTCAACTGTATACATGCAACACACTGAAATTTTCTCCAGATTGATTTGGCTAAAATAAATTTAACATTTTAGTTTATTTTAATAACATGCTACTGATTTATTCCAATTTAAGCACATTAATATCAAAAGTGATATTATGCAAAAATTAATTGAAATATGCAAATCAACAGTCCAGGAAAAATTGCTACATTTGTATAAAAAACATCAGAATTTTGTACACTATGGATTTACTCTAAACCAAGCTATCCACTGGAATTTGCTATTAATTTTCCTCCTTCCGTTAATGGGATTAGCTTAAATCAGGGATGTCAAACTGGCAGCCATTGGCCGGATGTGTCACACAAGCCATGCCCACTTCAGTTCCATGAAGGGAAAAATGTCCCGATACATAACATGACATGGTGAGTTTGACACCTGTTGCTTAAGTAATCAGAAATTATTTGTTTAATGCAAAGGTGCTTCTGGATACTTTTTACCCATCAAACCCAAATAGGAATTAATCTAGAAACATCAGGATGGCACCAAGTTAGCACTGATAATCAAATTATCAGCTGGAAGACTCAAATCCAGAAATCCCCCACTGGCACTTGCACAACATCTGCCCAGCCACTTTAACATCAATCCTCAATAGAAAGCAAAATGGTCGCTGAACACTCAGACATAGGTAGATAGATAAATGACCCACAAAAAAGTTGCTATGCTTTGAACTACATCATCAGCGATGGGCAATTCTGAATAAGATTTCTACTTCACATGACATTTGCTGTGACTCTCTGTATAAATGAAGCATCGTATCCTCCCCTCAGTATGACTGCAAGGTCCCATGTCAAACTGTAGATCATATTGTGACTGGCTATAAGCTGAGGACATATCCTGGTACAGTATCTGATTTTTTTATATCAACAATGCTCCAAAGAATAGAAATAGAAGTAAGTTGGGAACAGCAATATATATATTTTAATATAACAAGATCTAAGCAATAACAAGAGGGAGGTCTAGAAATTGAATGGCGGTAGTTAGATATGTTTAAATAACATGAAACAGTGAAAATGAAATGTAATAATTATGAGTTACAACATTATGTTCATCTGTACTAAATGTATGATACCCAGGTATCACACTGTTCATGCATTAATATGTATAATAATAAGTAATATAAAATAAAAAACTTGACATTTTTTAAAAATGCTCCTCTTCAATAGTTAGAAGGCATACACACTTTGGTTTTTGAACACAGATCTTTTTAACATTTATATTTTATTGTGTTTTATTAATCTAGATGAAATGTTGATATATATTGCTAGTCCATGTATGATATAACATACACTAAATAATATAAATAATGCTTAGCCCTGACTTAGGAATTATTTGTAGGAAAGATCCTACAAATCTTTTTACGAGATTCATTATCTTAAACACAATAAAAAACTATACCTTTATCTTAGCTGCATTCCATTTAATAATTAGCTTAAAGAATTTTAAAACTATAATAAAATCAAACCAAAGTCCTCTCCTCAATAATTTTTTACTAGTTAGTAGCTATTTTTCAAATCAAGAAAAGCAACATTATGCTATTTTTCAAATCAAGAAAAGCAACATTATTTTTGTGTTACATTGGCTGGAATATACTTCCAGAATCAGTTTTACTCAGGAAGATTCTTTGGTTTTCTCTGGTATTTACCATATATTCTTTCTAAGTACACACTAATGATATGGAAACTAAAAACAGGCACAAGAAATAGATTATTACACTGTTACGACTGCAAAGAAGGCTAATATTAAAAGATTAGAAATATACCAATTTGCTATCAGTTACACAATGATCTGAAGCATTTATCTCTCTCCATTGAACAACCATTCTTCACCAGGAGTCTGTCAGAGGACTATATAAAATATAGTGAACTTACATCATCTACATTCTTAATATCTGCTTTTCCTTTTTCTCAACCAAACTTATTTAAATGTAAACAAATCAATACATAAATGTACACATATGTTTGTATAATGAGTATTTATGTAAGTTCTTCCTTTTTTCTCCTTTTGCATTTTTTTAAAACTGTGGCTACGAGGAATTCTGAATGATTCAGTCCTGGCCTTCATCCCTTTCAACAGACTGCTCTTGAATGGCCTTAAACCCATGCTTTTCAGTACTAGGACATTAAAGTATATAAAGGTATTTCAGAGTACACACCAAACATCCTTGGTATGCAATCTCTTTGAGTCTGAAGTGTTGCCTAGTCTTATACTGTATCATCTTTATGGAGATAACATTCAACTCATGTTCTTCCTTCACTTCAAGTTTTCATCTTAAACTGCTTCTCCAGTATTTCTGCTTGACTGGGTTTACTCACTCAGTAGATACTGTGTATTGTTACTTCCCAAACCTCTTTCCTTATTAACAGTATTAGCATCTCCCTTTTAAATCTGCACTTATTTGAGTTTATTTTTTACTTACTTTCCTTTCCTTTTCCCTTTCCCTTCCCAAAATTAAGGAATGGGATTCTCTCTCCCTTTGAGAGGAACAAAAGCCTATTGCAATCTTTCTCATCTTAGTCTCCTGATGTTTATCCAGGAATATGCAAGTCAAAATAATCCAACTTGCTTAATGCTCTTATCACATGATGGCATTATTGTCTCTAAATCCCTATACTGTCTTCCCAGATACTGTCTTCAAAGTTCACAATAATGTTCAATTATGCCATTTTAATATAACCTGAACATAAACTTTATTCCTTCCACTCCTATATGATGCCTCATCTCAGTTTCTTCAAATTCTTCAATATATATTTATATCTCTGTGAATCATTTTAAACCCTTTATCAGTTTTACAATGAAATTCATCTATTAAAAAACAGACAGATTTCTAAGCATAAACAATTGAAACTATCATTTTTTATTACATTGAATGCTAGACTGCAAACATTTTGACGAAGACAACTGTCTTCTTGTACTCTGAAGGTGCATATAATCAAAGTCCCACCATATATATATATATAAATAATATAATAATACTTTTAGTTATAGTGCAGTCTTCACTTATTTCAAGTACTAACTGGTTAAGAGGAATACAAATGCATAGTCTTGTTGTTCAAAACCAAAGGTCTGGAATATGTCATCCATTTATATACCATTGAGTTCAACAGCATTTTTTTTCAAAGAAAAATATTCAGGATCAACCATTAAGTTTTAACTACTTTAATAATACATCAAAGCTATTTATTTGCCAAAAAAACAGCTTTAGTTAGCTATGACTATTTTTTTTTTTTTTTGCCGAATTAAGATGTTTAGGAATTAAATCATCTAACAAGTAAAAACTCAAAAGCAATATTGAATTGGAACCAAATACATATATTTTGTGCAAAACAAATTGACAAACACTACTTAATTATGTAAACTAGACTTCACAACAGTGCATTATTCAGATGCAATAGTGACCAACCTGCACTGAAATGTAATATAATTTTATATACCTTTCACTACAAAAATAAACTATTGGAATGTATATGCTAAAAATATTTATGTTCAAAATGTTAGAACAAATGCCAAAAAAAATTAACGAAGTTTTAAGACAAAAAGAAGATTCAAACTGAAAAACAGTAAAAAAAAAAAAAACAATAACACCTTATGTCCTTTTAGGATATTTTAAGTCAGAAATGTGCTTTCTGAAGTTTTTCACTTCTCCCTTTCTGTTAAAAGTTTTTCCCCCTATCACTTCCTTGTCTCTCTCAGTGATCTGAACTATAAGTTAGTACATCTAACTAAACAAAATTATCGAGATTTTTTAAAAAAAGTTGTTTGCAAACTGAGCTCAATTCGTAAGGACTTCACAAACATCAATGTAGCTTTTGTGGAAACAGTTTTTTTGAAAGTTGTTTGTAATACCCTGTTTCTCCAACAATACGGCCTCCCCCAATAGGAAGTCCCAGCATGTTTTATAGGCATGAAATAAAATTAAGCCCCTCCCCCCAAATTAAGGCCTATATTAAAACATGCGAAATGGGGGGGAAATGGCGGGGGGGCTTGCTGTTAGGAAGTACTTTTGTTGCATACCCGGATATGGTGCTGCTTGCGTTGACCCTGATACAAAGTGCCCCACCAACGCCGAGATCAACATCCAAGCCGTCGCCGCCCACCTGCCCGAAGATGCAAGGGGGGGGGAAATTAAGTCACCCCCGAAAAGACAGCCTAGCCATTTTTTCGGGGCTCAAAAAAAAATAAGACCCGGCCTTATTATATGAGAAACACGGTAGCTTTCTTCTTATTACAACTATAATCCTGGAATTTCTGGTTAACATTCAATGCTAATCAGATCTGATCGTGCTTGACTTCTCAAGATCAGTCAATATGAGTTTGAAGGCTTAAAAATAGAGATATAAAATTATTTCATAGTACAATCAGAATTCAGGGCTAATAAACCTCTTCCATATTACTAGTGTATATTCTATTCAGGCAATACTTATGGCTGAGTCCTACTCCACATCTTCTTACTAAAGGAAGATGAATAAAGGAGGAGAAACAGCAGGAAAATATTGCCAATGATCAGTGCTATCTCTGAGAACTTTTCTGTACAAAGTAGGATTTGGTCTGAATTACACCTCAGAGATTGCTTCCAATTCTATGATTCTGTAAAAAAAAATATTGAGTGGATAAAAGAGTTAACAGGTACTACAATTTACAGCAATAATAACAAGTACAGTACAAACACTTTTAACAGTAAGTGATATATTAGGAAAACATCATTCCAAATATATGTAACTAAATGTTTCCTTGTTTTTGATAATCGAAAAAGTAAAGGTTTTTGATTAAGAAACAAAACTGAAGCATTCAAACTTTATTTATGATAGTCAGACTTTTGTAGAAGGAACTGTACTTTCCCCATAAAGAAAATGTGCATGTGTATACATGTAGCATGTGTGTACGCATGCGCTTGTGTGTGTGCACATGTATATATTAGGATATCATACCTCTTCAGCCCTTATTCTTAACACTGGTACACCACAGGATTGCGTGTTGAGTCCCTTACTCTATACTCTTTTATGGGCATGACTGCATTCCCACTCATGCTAGTAATACTGTTACTAAATTTGCAGATGATACAACAGTGGTAGGACTCATCTCTGGGGGGAACGAGTCTGCCTGCCGAGATGAGGTGAACCGATTGCTTTCGTGGTGTGGAGACAATAACTTGGTCCTCAACACCAATAAGACCAAGGAACATCTTCTTACTAAAGGAAGATGAATAAAGGAAGAGAAACAGCAGGAAAATATTGCCAATGATCAGTGCTATCTCTGAGAACTTTTCTGTATAGAAGAAACATATCAGACATCCAGCCCTTGCTTATTAATGGAGACCGAGTGGAGCAAGTGGCCAGTTTTAAGTTTCTGGGCGTTATCATAAAAGAGGTGCTCACATTGCAGCCCTGGTCAAAAGGGCCCAGCAGAGATTATACTACCTGAGACTTATCGGAGAACAACTGAATGAAAAACTGCTGGTGACCTTCTACCGCTGCACCATAGAGAGTATCTTAACTTACTGTATCTCTGTACAGTTTGCCAATTGCACAGTGGCAGATAGGACAGCACTCCAGAGGGTTAACGTCATTGCCCAGAAGGTCACTGATTGCCCTCTCACCTCTTTGGAAGAGCTTTATAGCTCCCGCTGCTTTAAGAAAGTTCAAAATATTCTTAAAGATCCATCTCATTCTGGGCACCCTTTTTTTGAACTATTAGCCATCTGGTAGACGGTACAGAATAATAAAAACAAGGACAAACAGGCTGAAAAACAGCTTCTATCCCAGGACAGTAGCTCTTTTGAATTCTACTGTATAGTGCAGTGGTGGTGTGGTGTCCGGGTTTTCAATTCAATGTGTGGAGTGTGAAGGATAAGTGTTTGTGTTTATTTTCATGGTAATGATGTGCACTGAAGATGGTATTTGTTTTCATTGTATGAGGTGCAATGACAATAAAGTAAACTAAACTACTTGTTTTAAATGATTTAATCTAATACATATGGGAATCTTTTTGTTACTTACCACTAATGTTGAGATCATAATCTCCTGCAGTAATCACATTAGCTAGTAATCCTTCAGCAGGCTGGCTAACAGTCACCACATCATTCAGAATTTTTCGAATAGCTCCCGGCTGAGGTGGCTGAGTAATAATGTTGTTGACAGCTATTTTCAAGTTTTTGATTATGTGAAGTTGATTATTAGGATCTCTCATATGCACTGAAATAAGAAAATAAATGTTTTAAAAATAACCTGTTCTGATACTACGCATCTAATCCTTAATTTGTTTTTCCCTCATTGAACATGTTCATGTGCCCCAAACTGCTTTGTCCTCTGAAACTTATACTGTATATAGGAAGCACAGAAGAGCACATTAGGAAAACATTAATTGCCAGCTGACTTTAGCATTGTGTATGAAAAAACATAATTGGATATAGCTCCAAATGTTCAAAATACAAATAAAATTATCTTAGACTACAAGAGGACTTTCTGAGATTTAACTCTTTTTGTTTTTATTACAGATTACAAATGCATATGTGGAAATTTTAAACTTATCCTTTTAAAGAGTAGATTGATGGTCAAACAAAAATACATAATTTTATCTGTTTTAAGCAGAACATTTCAGCTGCTTAAAAATAAATAAAAATGTTCAGAGTAAAATAGTGACATTGTCAAGTAATAGGAATTTATTTGACTCAAATATAAATTGTGTCTCATTAATGTTCATAATTATAATCAAACTGTAGAAAAAACCGGGATTAAACAAATAATACAATCACAAAAATACAATGAAAACTAATGAAAATTATTAAAATTTTAAATAAAATATAATATAAAATAAAATATAAAAATAAAAAAAAAAATTCTTCACAATGAAAACCAAAAAATGTAGCCAATTCACAACTTTTCCTGGAAAAAATCAAGTTTGCTGGTATAATATTCTGACTTCTATGAACAAGGCACATATTATTTTATAGGTAGTCTTTGACTTAAAACCACAATTGAGTCCAAAATTTCAACTGCTAAGCCAGATAGTTAAGTGAATTTTGCCCCATTTTATGACCATTTTACCACAGTTGTTAAACGAATCACTGCAGTTAAGTTAGTAATGTGGGTTGTTAAGTTCATCTGGCTTCCCCACTGACTTAGTGTCAGAAGGTCAGAAAGGAGATTACATAATCCCGGGAACCATCATAAATATATGCCAGTTGCTGAATTTTGATCACATAACCTGTGATGACCCGGGGCATGGCACAAAAGCAACAAAGTCACAAAAATAGGTGAAGTCCCTTTAATACCTCCAACTTGGCCCCCAATGTCCAGTTATCCTCGGCTGGAGATCAAACTCTTCCAAAAACAGTCTACAAAGGGAAGAAATGAAGTCCAAACCCAAAGTACAGATAAATTAGAAATAAAAAACCAACACAAACCCCGCTGAAGTAATTAACACAACAGGCCAGGGTAATAAATTGCAGACTTCCAAAAGATAACAAAGCACATACAGTTGGGAGGATGCCAAAACCCAGATAAGCCTCGACAAAGATAATGCACGCTTTGCTTCCAGCAAGGTGCTGTGTGCAAACGCCCTTCTTATATCCTGTTCTCCCAGCTGCAACTAATGAAAGGGGTCAGGGCCTTTTTCTCTCCCGTAAGCCACGTTGCTCCCTTCTCCATTCCTCCCTGCGTGCCCTAGGATGAAGAGGGGGTGGCCCTGGGTCTTCCTCTGAATGCCCAGCTGGACTGTGCCCTTCCCCCGTTTCTTCCACAACCACGGAGCCACACTCCCACTCCCTATCAGCTCCTCAATCTCCCCCTCAGAATCAAACTCCAACAGGGGCATGACATGACCACTGGGATGCTGCAATAGTCGTAAATATAAAAAAAGGTCATAAGTCACTTTTTCCAGTGCCATTGTAACTTTGTATGGTCATTAAATGAATGGTTGTGAATAGAAAATTACCTATACTATTTTGAAATATATATGTCACAGCTTTGGATACACATAGTGTACACTACCTAATACAGAAGGGTTGTTAGTTGCATTATGCAAGATATACTAGTACTTGAACAAATAAGCCCAACTTAGTACAATACAAATAAAGGGTTCTTGCAACTCAGAAAATGTATCTTACATTACCATATTGACCATGTTGTCCATCCATTCACAATGAATATTAGGTCCATTTTCTAAATTCCCACCAAATAGAAACTTGCCTTGGTTGTAAATTTTTCCCATCAAATATCTTACATTTCCAGATGCATATTATATTTGCTTTTGTTACAGTATTTCCTGCATCAAAATAAGGGGAGCAATGTGTTTCATGACATGGGGTGGCTAATCTGAGAAGGTATGCTTTTGGGGCCCAACCTTTTTCCCTGCACATGGGGTGGGGACTCTTGGCCATTTCTCAAGATGTGTTCAAGCTGTATTTGAGCAGAAAAGGCAGTCTGGCAACTACACATATGCCAAGACACACATATGGACATTCAAGTCAAAACCATCAATTGAATTATACCCACAAACGTACAAGTAGCCAATGCAGCAACCAAGGTGGTATACAATAATAATACTAAATCCTTGTTAGGATTTACCATAAATTACTGGAGTTCTACCAATAGCACTTTTGGAGTTATCTTCAAGGACAGCCCCATCTAAAGTTTGTTGCAGATGCCTACACATGAGGTGAAGAGAATTACCATCGTAAGATCTTCCCGATACAACCCCAATTCAGGGGTTAATCTAGCTTTATCATTTAAATATCTGGCACATGCTTACTAAGAAAATATTTTGGATAAGGTAGTTTAAATCTCGTTGCTAGATATTATCCATATATCAGCAGAATCATCAGCAGAGTTCATCGGTAGAAGCTGGCAGAAAACTACGATGGCCAGCAACCGCCTTACGGGGCTGTCAAACTTTAGAGAAAGGTGAACAGCAGAAAGACTCCTCGCTCATGTCCTGACTCAAAGGAGAGGCCTTAAAAGGCCAGGCAGCCCCCCAACTGGCGAAGGTGTCAACAGCTGAACTCCCCCCTCCTTGCCATGTAAACAACCCAGTTCCTCTCCCGCCGAGTGATACCGACCTTCCGAAGTGAGGCGACAGAAGGGCTTTACCAGCTCACAGAAGCCCAGGTTGTTCTTGCGGGTGATTCTCTCTGCCTCCTCGCTACACAACGCGGCCACTAAAGGCACAAAGGAATCCTGGAGGAACTCCTGAATCGACTGCACCCGCTGGGCCATCTCTCCGATCGACGGAATGGCCCAACACACCGAGCTCCAGCGGACGACCTGCCGGAGGGCCTATCCGCCTTGGCCCACTCTTCTCTCGTCGTTCCCCTCCGTGCCGGAGCTGAATTCGCGCCGATCCACACGGTCCTCCCCCCGCCCACCCCGTCCAGGGCTTGAGAGCCGTGGCCTCAACTGCCACCTTACCGGCCCCTCAACGACCGCCCGGAGCCGCCATATTGGATCTGAAGAAGTCAGACAACTGGGTAAACTAGGCCGGCAGACTTTGCGGCTGTCACGTGATGGGAGTGGACAGGAAGAGGTGAAAAATCGAGCGAGGGAAAGAAGGGGCGGGCCGACCCGATGACGTGTATCTTATGAGCCGCGATCCTGACTGCGGCTGAAAGACCCGGGGAGAACATTGAGAAGCGTTGGGGTTTTGGGAGCAGTTCTTCCATTTTTAGTTTTACAGAAGCGAAGTTTTGTTAGAGGTCAACAACTTTAATGTTTGCCGTTGACGGTGTCTAATCTCGGATAGCATACTTACGTAGGCTAACCACAGCTTTCTTCGACGATAGATAGATAGATAGATAGATAGATAGATAGATAGATAGATAGATAGATAGATAGATAGATAGATAGATAGATAGATAGATAGATAGATAGATAGACAGACAGACAGACAGACAGACAGATAGATAGGACGGATCGCCTAGCACTTTTCTTTTCCTCACGGTAATTTCATTGACAGTGATTGGCCCAGAGTTATTTCAGCTGAACGTGGGTTATATAGTCCGCATCCAATATTTATCCATACAAAAACGGTATAGGCTTCCAAATCTGTCGTCCCCCTGCCCCCCTTTTTTTGCATTTGTCTGATCAGTTGAACACAAATTAGCCACCTATGTCTTAGACGTTTTGTGTGAAATTATTTAGAAAGATCAATTTGTGAGTCAGTAACTTTTTTTGAACTGAGAAAATTTGGTCCACTGAACAACTGATAGCCATGGGAAGGATATAGATAGGAGATACAGGGTATCTGTGGTGTATGCGAGTTTTAATTTAATGGTTGATCTAGCTCTGAAGTGGATTAAAAGTGTTTCTAATCATACCTCTTTAAATCTCTACAAGCAGTGATTTTCCTGCACCATTACTGAGAAACATGGTTAAGTATGGATACAATTGCAAAAATATTATATAAAAGCTCTTGTCCCACTGATGATTGTTGCTTCTGTACTAGCAATTCCAGATTATTCTGAAGGTAATAAAGAATTCTGTATCACTTGCATATTGCTAGCCCTTCAGTCCATTTCTCTATCACTTCATTAGGTGATTTCATAGACAATTTAATGGTCTGTAATTTTCCAATTTTTGAACACAGGATTCAATCTTACATGTATTTCTCTGAAAAAGAATTATTGTATCCATGTCTTTCACCTACAGACTAAAGTTTACACCACCAGCACCCCCCCCCCCCCAATCCAAGCAGTTTGTCATAAAAATATAAAACATTTTAAGAACCAAAATCAATATAAAACAAATGTAGAACAAAATATCTGCAGTAGCAACTGCTCATTCTCCAGAGCCCTCTGAAATAGCCTTGTCTTTAATAAATTTGTAGAAGGTGAGTAAGATTGCTAGCCCTATTTGCCAGAGGAAAGTTATTCCAAAACTTGGGAGTTTGCAACTGAAATTTTTCTGGAGCCCTGCCCTCTTTAGTTCACATCCTTGGATGGGTGGAGAAATTTAAACGAAGTTAGCATGTGTGTACTGGATGAGTCAAGCAGGCCACATATATGTAAAAGAAAGCCCTGTAATCTGTGCTTAAACAAATATAGATTTATAGGCAAACTAATAGTTTGAATTGTACTTGAAAAGATATTGATAACTGAACTGAAAAAAAAATCAGGAGGGAATATGATGGTACATTAACATGTTTAATTAAAAGGCATATGTTTTTCATCATTACACTTTGTTCTTTAATAAAAATGGGAAAATGTGTTAATAGAAAAAGCTGCTACAGTACCAGACCTCTGAATTCAAATACAAATGGTATTCTCATTTACTGCTTTCATTTCTCCATTGATTACATTCATTGACCTTGGTTATGTTGAAAAGAACCAGAGTTTGATAGACAATTATAAACATCTTGACAAGCAATAGTAGCAACTACAGAATTCTGTTAAAATTTAAAAAGTTGGGATATTTGTGCCCAATCTCTGACACATAAAGAAGTTACACAATTAACCACAAGAGGGCAGCTGAAGCAATTCTTATAGAAAATAAGGAAAAAATTGACTAACAAAACCAAAAATGATTGAAGTAGTCAAATCAATAGTCATAGGTAAGAATTATCCATGGAGAAATCACTTGTGTAAATATATATCATCATACATTGTAATGCATACAAATGTATATCATTAGCCCAAACATCCTTCCCTCTAAGATTCTGTGCTCTGATATCAAAGAGCTGTTGTTACTTATTAATAATTTAAATTAAAAATTACTAATTTATTAATCTCTTTACCAAGCAGCTCTAGGCAGTTTTTAAACTACATTTATTGGTGTATTGTAAATTAAATTTTAATTTTAAAATTAAATTAAAGTAAAAATTAATTTTAAAATTAAATTAATACAATTTAAAATTTAAATATTTAAAATTATATTTCTACTTTTAAAATTACTTTTATTGATACTATTAATTTTTACTCTTTCTTCCCCAAGAACCCAAAACTGGCTGCAAATAAATGATTGTAGAAGCTTCTCAATCGTTATTATATAATTACTCAACTTACATCATATTGTGATAGTCATAAAACAAATCACCATAACTGACCTCATTTTAATCTTTTTAAATTGGTCATTAAGTGAACAGATCCTTAAGCAAACCCACTGTAAATGCTGGTTTTTGGTAAAAACAGTATAAATCATAGTCACGAGTGAGAAATTACAAATGGCTGTAAATGCAGGCTGGTTGCTTAAGCACCCAAATTGTGGTCCTGTGATTGTGGCGGAGGAGCCATTGAAAGTTCAGAATCATACCTGAATATGATTTGGGAATCATACCTGGGACAGCAATATATTTCTGGAGGAAAGAAAGATAATCAAGATCATTCACATGATTCCAGACAACTGGTTCTTTTGAGTAGAGTGTGGAAACTTCCATTCTGCAAAGAACTTATGAATTGACTGACTGTAGGAGAGAGACTGGAACTTAAGGGGAGGAGTCATACTGGGACTTAATCTACAATGCCTGCATGGGTGAGACGCTGAACTTCCTTTGAATGCCATTGAACATTATCTAGTCTCATTTAGGTGCAAACCATTAGTCTGAGAAGATTCTTGCAATAAGCTTGGGCAAGAAATCAGCTAATTGAATTCTTCCTGTGTGGATCTTGTTATTTGCATCTGACACTGGCTGGGAGACAGTGTTCCATCAAGCTTACCTCCCCATTGCAGACTTCTGTGAACATTAAGCTCGACCAAGCTTCATTTCTTAATAATAGAAAACTCCAAAAAATGATTAATATATTGGAGAGATTAACACCCCTTTGAAGAAGATGATGCAATGTTTTTAATAAAACTTTATTAAGTTTTAACAAAGAGTTAAAATATACAAACAAAAAATAAAGACACAGAAAGGGTTAAGGGAACAAGGTCAGGAGTTCAGGAAACAAAAAGAAAGAAAAAATAGAAAAGTAACTTCAACTTTCTTCTGTACAGAGCTAAATATAACATACAATAACCTCTTTCTCTAAGATTAACAATATCACAGGATGATGCAAATTTGATGTTTAAAAACCTTTGAAGTATATTTTTTGATTATACAACAAAAAGGCGCTCAGTATATGGATTTCAGAAAGTTAACAATGACAATGGTTCCAATTGATTTAATTACAAGTAATTTTCTCACAAGAAAATAGCATTTAAAAAATATTTTATGGTAAGGGAACCTGGAAGTCTGCACACAAGAGGGAAATAAAAGATAAAGAAAATAATAGAACATAATTCTATAAAAGAAGTTATTGTACATTTTTTTTGCTAATCTTTTTGAAAAAGTAGATAAACCTCTTAAATGGACAGTGCAGTGAGATTAACAGTGTAAACTAACTGGAACACATAATTTTGAAATTACTTTGAAGGGGAATTTAACCATGATAAGTAATATGGAGAAAGATATGAAAATACAAATGGAATTGATGATTTATTCCATAAGATGCACAACAATTGAATGAAGAAATCCCTTTGGATTTGGATATTTTTCTTATTGAATATACAAAATAATTTTCTTAAAGTCTTGAATGATTTCTCTAGAAGGGACAAACAAAAGGACAGAATGTTATTTACTGGATATACAAAAAAAAAATTGTTAAAAGTTTTGAGAGCCTTATGGCTACTGTTGGAAGAAATATCCTTCTGGGTTCAGTTCCAAGTGGGGAAAAAGTGGAAACATGGAGGCTGTTCGGAAAGATGGGTTAATGGTGGACAGGACCACATGACTTGAAGCTCCAAAGTGAAAAGACAATCACATGCTTCAAGATGTTGGGTGAAGAAAAAGAAGAGAGGGTAAGATGCTGAGAGAAGCTTAGTTATATACCCTCTGTTGGGCCCCACCTTAATGTCTCCTGTTCCTGTATAAGAAATGTATCCCATTGGCTGTAGACTCATAGGGGTGGGGGTCTTAGCTAACTTTGTAGGCTTTGTCTGGACCACATGGCTTTACCTGAGTGCTGGCTGATGCAATCTTCCCAGGAGAGGTGGTGAGATGGGTAGACGCCTTTGTTATGTAGAATACTCTGCCCTAGGCCTTAATGGCCCACCCATTAACAAAGGTGGGGTGTGTGAGCTTCTGCTTCTCTGAGTTTCTACTTCCATTTTAGGGAAAATATTCTATCTTTTTAATATTTTCTAGGATATTTCATTTTTATGGGAGAGAGGTGGGTGCTAACTTCCTACACTACAAAAATAAATTAACACAAAACTAACTCTGGGCTTTTTCTGAAAGGATTAAAAAGTGGGATCCTTAAAATTCAAAGAAAATTTATAAAGTTAGTTTACTTGATGAGGACTAAAAGAGGAATATAGTATGGTTTTGTCTGCTGGGCTTTTACTGATGAACATTTGACAAAACTTTTGGATTTGTGTTTTTTTCTCAAGAGATGAACTATAAAGGGAAAAGAGATTACATAGGTAGTCCTTGACTTATGACCGCAATTCTGCCCAAATTTTTTATTCCTAAGTGAGACAGTTGTTAAATAAATTTTGCCCCATTTTACAACCTTTCTTGCCATAGTTAAGTGAATCACTGCAGTTGTTAAGTTAGAGGCATGGCTGTTAAATAAATCAGGCTTTCCTCATTGACTTTACTTGTCAGAAGGTCACAAAAGGTGATCACATGATCCCAGGACATTGTAACTATCATAAATATGAGTCAGTTGCCAAGCAGCTGGATTTTGATCATGTGACCATGTGGATGCTGCAAAGGTTCTGTAGAAAATGGTCATAAATCATCTTTCAGTGCCATTGCAACTTCAAAGTCACTAAACACACTGGACTGCCTACCTGTATGGTAGAAGCTTAATACAGCAATTCCCTTGGATACTTTATTTCAGTTTGTAAACTATCCAAAATCTCATAGCCAAATCTGCAGCATGTCTGGAAAGGAATTTACCAAAAAAAAAGGGGGGGGGAGGAATCCTGCAAGGCAGAGATTGTAGATTGTTGTATACAATACTCGGTGATTCAATTCATATACTACATGCAAAGCCAGCAACAAAAAAACCACAGCACATGATGCTTACTGCAATATGTAAACTTTCAATGAAACAAAAGACAGAAGTAATTGAATATGAGTAAGAATATGCCTTACTCTGCTTTAGGGTAAAAACTGGAAGAAAGGGCCTCGCCCTTTTCAATGCCCCAGTTGGGGAAGCCTCTAGCCAGACAATGCTTTAAAAAAAAAAAAAACTGATTGGAGATAGTAAGAAGATATACCAAAACAAAGGAAAGACCCACATGCAGAATTAGACAATACAGTTCATTTTTTTTAAGAAAAGACAAAAATTACATATTCTTCTGAATTTTTATCATTAAATAGCATAAAAATATAAAAAAAAATTTTTAAAGTCCAATAATTAAGACTTGGGATCATGAAGCATGCAGTTTAAATTCAGTCTAAAGATAAGAACTATTGATTAAATTAATTCTAAGTAGGTGTTAAAGCTTTAAGAGTTTACCAAGACAAGAAACAATGTCTGATTTTCATAGTTTAGGAATATGAAAGGCCAACTATTTTAGTCACTTATCTTAGGCAAAATGAACAATAGGTGAAGGAAAGAGGTGAAGAAATGGAGGAAAGACCAAAAAGGGGAAAAAAAATAAAAGATGTATAAATGTGCACTTTGGCTGTAATACATGAAATACAAAAAGGAAGAAATACAATTGTAATTTTCCAGAAGGCTTATATTATTTAAAAATGGGATACAAACAAATAAAAATAGTACTATTTTTCAAACATGTTCCTATAGTTCAAAATGTATGTATTTATTGAATTTATATAGTTGCCCATCTTGATTCAGCTGCCTGGTCCTATTATATTACTACACTGCTTCTTAGGGTCGATTTGTTCCCCTGCACTTTGGTCATTAATGAGGGAGTTGGGTGGTTGTTAAAATATAATTGATTGATAAATAAATGTATGGAAATTTATGAAAGACCAGCCATATTACTGTGCACACTTACTTGAATATGGAACCTATATACTCATATATCTGATTCTTCAGAACATAGAAATGAAGTGCTGTTAAGTTTCACTCATGTAAGTAGTGGAATAATTTAAGTTGGATCACCTAACCATCCTGGATAGGCAAAACAAAGGACTTAGTTAATAGTTGAAGCTTTCATGAAATACTAGGAGTGTAAACTAGGTTGAAATATAAGAAAATCCTGAGAGAAGACAATGCCAAACCATTTCCCATGACACTAGGAACTGTGTTAAATACTCACATGTATTTAATAAAGGATGGTAAGCTAGAAACTAACATTTGTCAAAACAGCATGATACACAAGAAAAACTTGTGACAGAAACTAATATCTAAAGTATTGTGAAAAAAGTAGGGAAATATATAATCATATTAACTGAGTTATTTATAAAAAATAATAAAACTAGGATAAAATAACAGCAGAAGAGGAAGAACTGGGGGGGAAATCAAAAAACATAAGGACATGCAAAAAGAAATGGAATGACTGTGATAAATCAAAGTAGCATGAATATTAATAGGCACTTTGTGCCCAATCCCAAAACAACTGGAGTACCACTTGAACAGCTATCAGCATTGACAAGATTACTATCAGTCAATTACAAAATGCAGCTTTACTTGTAAAAGCTGATATCTAATGCCATTAAACAATATCTTCTGTCTCAAGTTGTTAGGAAAGCCTGGATAGGTTGATAAAAATGCCAAATCCAGTATAAACTTCTGATTTACCATGCAACCAACCCTAATAATAAAACAGGAAAAGAAAACCATTTGGTGAACACAGTTAGCTTAGGCATTAAGCCAAGTGCCAACTGATTTTGAGTGTAAAGGCAAAGCCAGTATATGGAAAAATGAGGAAGGTATAGTTGATCTCCTGGATTCTGAATAGGAACACTGTTAATGTTTTATATTCATTTGTGGTCTAGCATCTAAATCACAATGATTAGATCTGGCCTCCAAAGAGAAACATGCAGCGGTAATAGTCTCTAGTCTCATTTGCAAGTTGCACCAAGCCACAGTTCTTAAACTGTTTTTAAGACATAAAACTATTTATTTGCTATAAGCCAATTGGTTTACAGCATTAAAGCATTACAATCTTCAGAGATAAGTATTCCCGACACAAAAAAGCAAATCATAGTTCCAAGAGGGGTGAGGTGGAAGCCAGATTGGCTCCGAGCCGTCTGGCAGAGCCCGGACTTAAGGTCAGGAGGGTGGAACCAGATTTCACCTCTCAAGAAAGAAGATACGATATCCCAAAAGGATAGGGAAATCTCTTCTCCTGGATCCCAAGCAACATTCCTTGTCTGATGAGATCAACTGGCCAGTCCCTCCAAACCATAAACCATGGTTTTAGTTCACACAGTATAAACCTAAACATGGCTGTGGCTTGCTATGTTTTGTGAACTACTTTATAATCCGACTTTTTTTATATTTTTGCAAACTTATCAATAAAACATGACCAAGGAAATATTCGGGTTAGTATGATTTACTAAAACACATGAATTTAAATGTTTCGTTTCAGCAGAGGACAGCTGCTTAGTGTTTTCCCTTGTAGATTGCGTCCTTTTCTCGGGATTTAGGGGTTTTTTCTTTGTTTGTTTGTTTTTTTACATTCATTCGGCTGGAAGAGAGGGAGGAAAAGAGCGCAATGAGCTCGGTCATGAAATGTTTCCTGGCTACAATAATCGGTGACACTCCCACGTAAACAGTATTTTAAAGTTCAAGCCAGATACTCCGGAAAACCTTTCGACCCAGTAGGAATCATCTTTGGTCAGCTATGCAGGGGGCATTCGCAAACCATCCAGGTCCAAGGAAAAACAAAACAAAACATTGCGGCAACCAATAAACGAAGCCAGGGCTCTACGATCCCTACTTTGTTATCTGAAGGAGTCAGGTTTCACCGCGCCGACTTGGACTGGCCCTGTCACCAATAAAGCTTGCGCAGGATCCCGACTCTGCAGTCGCGGCTGAACGCCTCTGGGATTTCTCCCCAAAACAAGGAAGAGGTCCGAGTAGGGTAGCTGACACTTTTGTTTTGCTTCAAGGCGAAATCCTCCTGCAAAACTGCTACAATTGCGGTTGTAACGCATTTAAGCAGTGCGCCTGCTGCATAGTAGCGGCAAGCAACAGCGCCAACGCGTGAGAGCTCGTCTAGGCGATGGGGTCGGTGCTAAGCGGCGACGGACGGGAGACGGCGAGGACGCCGGATGTTAGCAACCCCCAAGGCAGTATTCAGTTCCCACAACCGTCAGACCGAGCGGGATGCGTGGAAAAGCAGCAAATTCCCTCTTTCGAGTGCGCCATCTGCTTGGAAGTGTTCGACCAGCCTGTAAGGACCAAATGCGGCCACGTGTAAGTGCAACTGTTGAACCGTACTTTGGTCCTGCTTTGAGAAACTTGTGTTGGAGGAAGTAGAGATTGTCTTCTCCTGGTCATATGTAAAAGTTTGTTTCTGTTTGTGTCTGCTGTGCTTTGCAAGGCAAACTTATTGGAAATATAAGTCCCGGGTATTATATACAGGTAAATTCAGTATGAATGTTTAAGATTTTTCTTAAAACCAAAAGACGAAAAAAATTATTCATCCATTTCCTCTCTGCAATGGGACTGCATTTAACTCCAGGTTTGGTCCAATGAGGGACTAACCTCCACAGATGGTTTTACCCTCACATAAATTAAACTAAATGCATGTTAATCTGCTTGTTTGGCCAAATAATGTTTCCACTACCATGGCCCTATCAGTTTATATATGTTTTCCCTGAGATAGCTTTTTATCAATGCAAACCATAATTTGTCATGACATCCAAGAAACCTTGAAATCCATAGAACTTGGGTAACAGTGAGTTCCATTCCTGCTTTAGGCATGGAGCCACCTAGGTAACCTTGGGCCAGTCATTTTCCCTCAATCCAGGAAGGAGGCAATGGCAAACCACTTCCAAAAATCCTTGCCAAGTGAACTGCAGAGACTATCTTCAGCCATGGAAACTTAGTAGCTCTGTGCCCATCACACCCATTCAGCTCAGCTTATATTTCAAACTTGTTAAGATGATAAAATTTAAGTCACCTTATAAGTCACAAGATATAAATAGAATACATATATAAAGATATTATAAAACTGTTCTTATAATATAAAAACCTACCCAAGACAAGATATGCAAATGTAATGTGAATTGCATTTCTTTAACTTTGGGTCATCTCCAGGCACCTTTTGTCTTTTTTGCATATCAGTTTCTAATTTACAAGCTTTTTAAGAGTAAAACCAATCAGGGTTCAAAAAGCTTTCTTGAAGTGTCTTTTCATTCTTGTGAAATTCCTTAAAATGCTTCCAGGCACTCCCTCCTGGGGGGGGGGGAGAGGTGGGGGAACACCTCTTTGGTACCAATAACAAGCAGCCAAAAATGTCACCTTTCTGAAACAGAACTAGTACCAAAAGAGACATAAGGGGCAGAGGCTGCTCTCACAATAAGCTGGGAGTTGATTGTTATCAAAAAGTAGGCATCACATGTTCCCTGGTAGAGAAAAAAAAGGAAAAGCAGAAATTAGGGAGATTCTACTTTACAAAAAGGTCCTGTACTGTTTTCCTGAAGACCAGGTTTTTCACATTAAAGCAACTATATTGACTGATTCAATTTGAGAAAACTCAACAGGAAGTATATTGTGAAGAAAGTATACATATATGACATTTTCATTCAGAATGGTGAAAGATTACATGAAATTGATTACTGTAAATTATGCATACAAATGAGAGCAAAATTAAAACTGAAGACGTTCTAAGTTTCATTTCTGTGGGAATAGTTCTGGTTCATTTTTGGCTAACTTATGTTCTTTTTTGTAGCACTGACTCTCATATTAAAGTTGTATTACAAGTCATATTTTCACTAATAGGCAAGTATTTTGATGCTAATTAATAACTTTAGGTAATGCAGAGGTAGCCTCATAGCAAAGCATATTATCTTCTCTAGCTATTCTTTATCAATAGTCCAACAGATAGGGATGCTCAAATAAAGAAAATTGTTAACAGAAATCATTCTTCTTAGGATGTGTCCATATTTTACATTGCTTTCCTTAAAATAGGGTTTTGTGTAGAAACATGATTTTATTTTTGTCTTTTACAGATTTTGTCACATTTGTATTACCACATGTTTAAGAAATCATACATGGACATGTCCATATTGCCGAGCCTACCTACCTTCTGAAGGGATTCCAGCAACCGATATTATCAAAATGATGAAAAATACACACCAAAACTGTACAGAATGTAAAACACAGGTAAATAATGATTGGTACTACATAATTTACTCTCAAATTAAGAACTTTCTAAACAGTATTCCTATACGCACTTTTTCAAAGTAATTTATATTGAGTTGTAAGTAATGTGTGATACCCAACTGAGAGAAATTTGAACTGGCCTTGCTTTGTAACCTCGTCTTTTTGAAAAGCAAATTTGTTTTTAAAATACCGTGTTTCTCCAACAATACGGCCTCCACCAATAGGAAGGCCCAGCATGATTTCTAGGCATGAGGTGAAATTAAGCCCCCCCCCCTCAAATTTAGGCCTATTCAAACCATGCCTTTCCCCGCCATTTCTCACATTGTTTGTTAGAACTACACGAGGTGAAGAGAATTGGGCGGGGGAAGAGCCGGGGGGATGGGGAGAAAACTTGCCTTTAGGAGTGCCCTGCAGGTAGCCTAGGCTAGAATACCCCAATAGCCGATAGAAGCTCCCTGAAGGCAGAGTCCCCAGCCGCTTCAGGGCATGGCGTGGCTACCTGTGTCCCCTTGCCTTTAGGGCAGTCTCTTTCGGGCGATGGAAGCTCCCAAATGCAGTCACCAGATACTTCAATCGGCTGGTAGAAGCGGCCTCGCAGCGAGGGGAGTGTGTGTGTGCCACGCCTCGCCCCGAAGCGGCTGGGGACTCTGCCTTCAAGGGAGCTTTGGACGGTAGAAGCAGCCTCAGGACGAGCGCACACACACACTCCCCTCGCCGCAAGGCCGCTTCTATCAGCAGACGAAAGCTCCCTTGAAGG